AATATTCACCTTGTAGAGAAGTAGCACACAATGTGTCACTGTCATGAGACATACTTGCAAAAAATCACGGTTTTAGTTACGCAGTAACGCAGCGTTCCTACGGGAAAGTAACGGTAGTCTAATTACCGTTTTTGCAATAGTAATCCCTTACTTTACTCGTTACTTGAAAAAAGTAATCGGATTACAGTAACACGTTACTTGTAACGCATTACTGCCCATCTCTGGTGATGTCACAGGTTTGTTACCTGGCTGGCCATTTAATAAGGGATACTGAGGGAGCTTTGTGTTTGAAGCCACAGAGCTTTGACCGTGGAAAAAGTAGGTCTCGTTGATCAAACCCCAAACAGAATGACATATCCCTTTTTGATGAACAGATTTGAGAATTTTATTATTATTTTATTACTTAAAATTTTATATATTCCAGGAAAGCTCGGTTTGTCAAGCTTTTTTAAATCAGTGTTGCTGTGAGCGTGCAGACACTTACTAAAGCCAGCAGTCCCCCTTCATGTTCTGATGAGACAAGCTGCAGACCAGTGATCTCTTACCTGTGTCTTATCACATATTAGATCTGATATAACAATGTGCTGAGCTTTGATGGAGTTCTGGTGGGAATATTAGGTTTGTTATAATGTGATGGAGCAATGGAAGTGCTGTTAGTGTTGCAGTGTATGAATCTACCAAGCCCGCTGGAGAAGATGATTAATACACTCTTTGATGTCTTACCGGCAAAGTGTCGTGGAGGATTAATCCATTTATAATGGCTCTGATGCGCGTGTGTGTGTGTGTGTGTGTGTGTGTGTGTGTGTCCATTGCAGTGGAGTTCAAGAAACTGGACTTGGCTTCATTGCAGTCTGTACGTCAGTTCGCCCAGAGCTTCAGAGAACGGGACCTGCCGCTAAATATTTTGGTCAATAATGGTGAGTCTTTGTGTTCTGTCCTTGTGTTCTGTGAGCGTGCAGCCGGACTCTGCTCAAAGTTTATCAAATATTTATTGAGAGAAGTAGAAAGCCTCTGCGCAGCTGTGTAATTTCAACGCAGTCGCCTGGCTGAATTTAAAGGGAGTTTGAGAATTAAACACAGATCCAGTCACACTGCGAAATGTTCTGCACGCATCCTTGGATACTGTATATACTAAGCTCAAGTATTCCCTCATTGAAAACAGCTGTCATGTTCCAGGTGTGTCTGATTAAACTGAAATGAATGTAACTTTGGACTATTAATGATATAAGCCATATTTGATATTGATAGAACTATTTTTTAAACCCTCAACAGCTCACAGGTATGCTCTGCTGTCAGCTTTTTAAGAAATATAGCCTAAAGAGGGTGTTTGCTGCACAGTTCACATTTATGCATTAGTGAAACAGAAGCAGGTTGTTAAATGAAGAGCACACGCTGCTTTACAGAGACTAGTTAGAGAAATTACTGACTGATGTATGGGTTTCACTTTAACCTTTGCATTTTTTGTGTTTTATCTCTATTACTTTTATATGTAAAATGTTAAATTAGTCTTGTAGCGTTTGAATTAAATTCACATTTGAAATACTAAAATGCATTTTTTTGTGTATCAAATATTTGTGTGTGTTTGTGTGGATGCGTGTGTCAAGCGGGTGTTATGCTGGTTCCTGAGGGGCGTACGGAGGATGGATTTGAGCAGCACTTCGGTGTGAACTACCTGGGACACTTCCTTTTGACCTGGCTACTCCTGGATACACTGAAGGATTCTGGGAAATCGGGTCATGTCTCTCGTGTGGTCAACGTCTCATCCTCAGCTCACTGCATCGGACAGATCAGACTAAATGACCTGAATAGCCGGTAGGCACACACAAACACAAAGACGCACATGTCCAAAGACATGCATCTGATGCACACAGTACCTGAAGTTAATAACAAATAAGAAACTAATAAATAGTTAAAATGATATATAGACTTTAAAAATGCTTGCTTCAGATGCAAACTGAGTCATTTCATGTAATTGCTATTGTCACAGTGGTCATTAATTTTTCACTTGAGTGTTTGGTGGTTATCAGCCATTTACTGTTGAGCCACAAAACTTATTTAATGATGTGTGACATTCACATTAAGCGCTTTATTAAAAAAGATAAAGTCAGTTCTTCGATATTCTTTAAGAAGAGCGGTGCACATCCTTGTGTATTGTGCTCACCTGCCTTCTTTATGCTGAGATCAGTATTACACATCTCAGTTTGGCACAAGTGGAAAACTGTTGGTTCCAGTTGGCTCAGTATCACTCCAGCTCTCAACACTGCTGTCAAGATGTATTAACAGCCTGAATATCGTCATCATGTCGTTACATAGACATATTGGTGTTTAAAATCCAAGGTCTAAAACTCAAATGCTGATTTAACTCAGTATAGACTTCTTTTAGTCCAAAAGCATAGCATAACTTGAACAATACCCTTGTTAAGTTTCGGGGACATTATAAATATATTATGTTATTTAAATAATAATTTTAAGCTTCTATCATACTACACGCATTATATAGTTGAGGACAGAATTATTAATATTTTATTAATTAATTACATTTTTTTGTTTTGAGGAATTTAGTTTGTTAGCAAAGTGAATTAATATAATTTAATCCGATTTTTGGAAAAGCTGTGTTAAAAGTTTCTTACTTTAATAAGGGGCTTTTTCATAGGGAGGATAATAATTGACATTCTTTCTTGCTCTCTCTGTATTCAGCCAATCTTACTCCTCACATGCTGCTTACTGTCAGAGCAAGCTGGCCCAGGTGTTATTCAGTTTCCACCTCCACCAAGAGATGCAGAGTGGAGGTTTCCAAGTGAGTTCATGTGCCGTGGATCCCGGCATGGTGGATACCGCACTCTACCGCCACCTCTGGACACCCCTCCATCGGGCACAAAGTGTCATCGCTCGCCTGCTCTTCAGGGTAAAACACGGCTCTGCATTTTCTGTTGTGTCCCAACTGTAATATTCACCTTGTAGAGAAGTAGCACACAATGTACGGTTCAGATCAAATATAGTTGACATGTGCTTAAAGTAAATGCATTTTATACTGTTCACACTGTGTCACAGAATGATCCCAGTAATTGAGCTTCAAATTATTTTATTGTTAGAAAAATAGCTTGTAACAACAAGATAGCAACCCTGGATAATTTAAGTGTTTCCTCAACTCTTGAGTTGCAGTTTATTCAGCGTTGTGAGGTTTTGGAACTGGAAATCTCTAAAAGTTAAAACTGTTAGATGTGAACCTACAAACTTGACTGTGGGCACTCTACAGATTTTATTATGAGATGAAACACACACACACACACAGTCCATCCACCCTGCTGAAAATGGAAGTGCTACTAAAACTCCAGCCTCTTCACTTTGTGTTACATTTTCAAGCCTTCTTTGCATAACTTAAAGCACTGACCCCAGGCTGCTGTTAATGTCCCTGAGATTTAATGGAAGAAGATGTGTGTGCATGTTTGAGCCCCAAGCCACAGTTGTCACATTTGCCTGTGAGCACAACCTTTGGAATAGTTTTGCCTCACATACAGTATGCAAACTTATTATCATGTGAAATAGTCCATGTAATTATTAACTAACACACACACTTTTATTTTGCCTTTTACAACACCTTTTTATTTTAAACTCGGGGATTAAAGTTGGATTTTGCCCTAAGATTGGGTGTAATGGTGCCACATCGGGAAAATACGTAGAAGCAGGTTGTTAAATGAAGAGCACAGAGTGATGTAGAAATGCGTCACTTTATTTCACCACTATTAGATTTTTCTTTGTGTAGATGCTGTGATCAACTGACAGGTGCTACTTTACTGCTCTTT